ATATCCCTATACTTCATATATAAGAAAAGGTTTTTTAATTATGTAAGTGTGTGTCTATGTGCCAAATGTAGGACCCAGCCACAAATTCAATAGAGGCTTCTGTAGAGTCTCAGTAGTTTACCCTAAGGCAATACTCGGTTCTAAGAAAGACCACAAACTGAAACCACCCAGGAGCAGACCATCCAAAAGAAATTCCTAACGTTCCAACCATTGTAGATAGGATAGCCTGCTAGCACACCCCATCGCTTTTCACCAGGACACCCCTAGACAAATGTCAGCCAATCAGGGGTCCTGAACCTTAGAAATCCCTCACCTCTACCTTTGCTACCAGAAAAACTCAACCTCAGCTGAGCTGGGGCTCTTTGATCACTCCAACACGCTGGACAAGTGGAGAGTCCGAGTTTGCAAATTTGTGTAAGAATAAAGGCTCTTAGCTTTTACATACAGGACTTGGTCTCCTTCTCCTAGTTGGTTTTTTTTTTTGGGGGGGGGGCCTCTGGGAATAACACCAATGTCACACAGTCACACATAACTCAATCACAATTTTCAGAAGTATATACAAATTTTTTATGACACTATCCACTTTTGAACTATATAATGCATTTTGTGTGATGTGTGAGTCAGTACTCTAAGGCCAGAACTGGGAATTGGGGGTCCTTAACATGGGCGCTGGGACTGTAGACTGTATTCAAGTCCTCTGTGCAATGGATTAAATAAAAATGCTGCAGGTTCCCAAGTGGCTGCAGTGGGCAGCAGGCCAGGAGACCATGCCGCTGGTTCCAGAGTGGGGACAGGCCAGTTCCAGGTAGGGACGACGCAGTTCCCTGAGTGGTTGCAGCAGCCATGAGTCCCAGGCAGGGAACTACATGGTAGGTGAGAGACCTCAATGGAACTGACGGTCTCACAAGGAGAAACAGACGGACAGTCACGCCAAGAGACCATACCGCAGGTCTCTAAAGTTGGCTGGTCCTGGGCAGGGAGCCACAGAGTGGGCGAGACAGAGGCCATGCAGAGTGAGGTTGGATGTTTATTTAGTAGGTTAATGAAGGGAAGGGAAAGGGGAAGAAGAAGAGAGAGAGAAACAGCAAGGGGAGGAGAGAAGTGGGGAAGAGAGACAGAAGCTGCCTCTTCCAGGGGGAGATGGAAAAAGGAAGAAACTCAGGATGCAAGCAGGAAGGAAGATCTGCCTGCCTCAGTGGAGGGGGGAGTGGGCGGGGCTTGTCTCTTAAAGGGACAGAAGAGATCATTACACTTTGGAAAAGCAGCAACTGTTTTGGAGAAGGCTGTCCAGGAATTCACTTGGCATACCAGGCTGGCCTTGAACTCATAGAGACACACCTTCCTCCTGAGTACTGGGATTAAAGGTGTGCGCCCTACTACCACCCTTAAAAAGAAAAAGATTTGTAAAGGATCAAGACCTGGACTTCTATACTCTATGGTCCTAATCTAAGGTAAGTAGGGATATTCTGTTTGTGTTTAACAAATAAAGCTTGCCTGAAGATCAGAGTGTAGAGCTAGTCACACTAGTCACAGAGACCAGGCAGTGGTAGCACAGACCTTCAATCACAGCTCTCGGAGGCAGGTGGCTCTCTGTGAGTTCAAGGACACCATGGGATACACAAGATTGATCCAGTCTAAAAGAGAAACAGAGCCAGGTGTTGGTGGCTCACACTTTTAATCTCAGTACTTGGAAGTTACACACTTTCAATTCCAGCACCAGGGAGGTGGAAGACAGGAAGGGATATGGCTGGGTAGAGATGAGAATATAATGTGGGAAGAGACAAGATACTCCATTTGATCTGAGGATTTCGTAGAGGTAAGCACTAACGGCTGGCTGCTTGCTTTTCTAGGGTCCCAGTTTTCACCCCCTAATATCTGACTCCAAGTTTTTATTATTAAGACCAATTAAAAATCATGCTACAAAGGTAGATTTAAAAAGGAGATGAGAAAAGTAGAAAATACATTGGCTTGTGCCCCGATTCTGCCAGTTAGCTTTTTCACTAGAACCCTTGGCCTACGTGGCTTTCCTAGCCACATAGGTAAACAAAACAGATGACTTAAAAGTTTCTACAAACTCTTGGACAACTAAGATAAGCATGGTATTACAGGCCTGAAGTACTCACACACCAGAGGCTAAGGGAGAAGGATCACCAGTTTGAAGCCACCCTGATCCTCAACCAAAGCCTATCTCAAAACAAAACACTTTAGGCTTCCTCAATTTTGTCGAGTGTCCTTTCTTAATTCTTAGCAGTAGTAATTATCCATGGATTAACTTTTTCAATTAATCACAATTTGCAGAAGTGTACACAAATTTTTATGACTATCCATTTTTAAAATACTTTTTAAAATTTAAATTTTAAAAATTTAAAAAACTGAGAATCCTCTGTAACAATCAAGGTACCATTCCAGGTTTAAAAGCCAGAGAGAAACTGAGTAGCCCTGTCCTTGAACAGTCCAACATCTTGGGAATGGACCAAGACCTGAATGCAAGGAACTCAGCTTCACAATCTTTGTAAACTAGGTGACTTTAACTAAGTCATCCTCAAGTTCTTAAGTAGATGCACTGAAATTTAAATTAGATGTTTACAACCCCACCACTTGGGAGAGTTAAGCAGGAAAATCATCATATGCTCAAGGCCAGCCTGGACTACTTAGAGAGTTCAGGGACAGCCTGAGCCACAAAGTGAAACCCTATCTCAAAAGAACAAATAAATCAAAGAGACACAAGTTAAGCTCACATCTAGCCTCCTTTCTCAGCATGTTAAACCCCATCACCAACTTACAGTCTAGATTTTTTCTTTTTTTTCTTAAATTATTTTTGTTCTTTGTGGGGTGGGGGAGCTCTTACTGCGTAGCTCTGGCTAGTCTGGTTACTTGTTATGCAGATATAGATCAAGTTGACCCTCAGCTGTAGCAATCATCCTGCCTCAGCCTCTTAAGTGCTCCAATTATATAAGTAGGCATCACCATGTCTAGAACCTTAGCATTTTAATTGACAAGTTATAATTATATATTTATATATATATATATAATGTTCACATTACATAATGTAAAGCATTATGTAATGTTTTACTAAATATATAGAGATTTGGAATAATTAAAGAAAGTTAAACATAGCCTCTCTTTTTTGTGGGAATTTCTTTTTTAAGAGACTATCTACACCATAATTCAAAAACACTCTAATATTGATAACAGAAGGTCACTAAATTCAACATTTGACAACTGTTAAAAGAATCCAATGCAAAAGGAGGGAGACATCAGGTGCTTCATTCCCACAAGTCATAAATCTGTGACTGCGACCACAGTGGCCTGAGAGCCACTCCTTTCTCAATATATTTCCCTGTGTTGGCATTAGATAGTATAGCCACTACAAACAGCAACAAGTTAGTACTTCCCTACTCCTCCTAGTTAGCCCTTAGCACTACTAGGTCATCTGCATCTAAGAGATAAGATAACCACAGTCAATTCAAAGAGGAGCCAAGGCTGCTAAGTGGCAGGTACAGATTTTAAACGCAGGGCTTCTCAGACTTGTTATATTAAGTTATACTGTCTAGTGATTACATAAGCATCAAAGAAAGCAGTTATGTCCCTTGACTTCTACTCATTGGTGCAGGTTCTTGCATTAACTGTCCCTCCACAGCAAATACAACTGACCATACTGACACACCCATATATACCCAATTCAACCTTACCCAAAATACAGGATGTCCAAGGAAACTGCAATTCTTATCGCGGGTAAAAAACAGAAAACGAACACCTCGAAGGCTATAGAAAAGTTCTAATAGAAAAGACAGCCTAAAATCTGTTCTGCCTCATTCTCTTGGTATTAGACACCTACCTATTGGGGGAGAGGGCGGGTAATACAGAAGGAGCCAAACGTGAGGCCGACAAATATTCTTTATAGTTATATTTAGTCTTTTTCAAAAGAAGTTTGGGTTTCTGCCCCTCTGTTTCTCCAGGTCCTGTTCACGCCTGTCACTCTTTACTACATAAACTGAGTCACAAGTCACCTCATTTCTCTCAGGACACTCTGTCTGAATTATTCCTGTAGCCAAACCAGTCAGACGGCTCAGCTGTCTCCTCTGAGGGAACCACAACAATCCTCTGGAAGGTATGAGAGCTGCTGCCACTGCTCTTAAAAACGATTGTAAAGCTCAACCCTGTAAGCACAGCCCTAAGACAGAGCAGCAACTCATTGGCTCTAAATACAGACAAGAAATCATTCGCTCCCTTCTTTTTTTTTCCTCAACCAATCAAAAAAAGCAAAACTCAACAACCACTTCTCCCACTGAATTCGCCACCGCATTGTATGTAAGTTCTCAAGACAATTTCCATGAGTCTGCATCCAAACAAATTCCTTCTCTAGGAGAGGGGAAGAATCTCTCTAAAGACCAAACCCTATAGGATAGTCAACTTTAAGTTGAATATAGTTCCATCTATTTGCTCGCGTAACACAATCAGCTCCAGGAAAACAGAAACGCGCCTCGCCCTTACTTCTTGCCTTAATAAATACTAGGAACTAATGGTCTCTCCAACAGATTCCACCAGTGAGCTAGGCCATCAGCTTGATCCTCGACTCGCCACGGACAACTGACAAAGACCAAGTGAACTGGAGGCGCCAAGGCTCCCCCTGGCATTCCACAGAGGCGCCCACACGGGTCGCCTGCTTTCACAAAGGGACTCCCTTCGTCCCAAGTGGAGATTTCAAGAGTGGCTCCCCTCCCTCGCAGACATTCTACAGAAGGCCGGACTAGCCCGTCCGGGCGAGCAAGTGACAGGTTGTAGTTAACCCTTCAGCCTCCACAGCCCGAAAGGCCGCAACAGTGACAGGCTCGGATTAACCCTTTCCGAGCCGCCCCCACCACAACGCAGGATGGAATTGACCCTCGGGCTGCTGACCCGCCAGCTACAACCTCCGAGGCCCACATGCGTACGGCCCAGACCTCGGGGAGGTGACAAGCCCGGGACGGCGGCCTGGCCTCCCGCAGCCGGCTGCTCACCGCGATGACATTGACGAAGGTGGTCTTGCCCGAGTACTGCAGCCCCACGAGCGTCAGTTCCATCTCCTCCTTCCAGAAGAGCGAACGGAACCAGTCCAGCAGGCGGGAGATGAGCGCCAGCATGGCGGCGGCCGGCAGCGAGCGGGGACGGGCGCGGACGACGGCGGACACTGCTTCCCACGAGCGGATATCGGCCCCGAACCCGCCAACGGCTCCTCGGCGGGCCCCCCGGCGCGACTCGGGCGGACACAAGCAGGCGGCTGCGACGGCCAGAGCCAGGAAGCCCAGCGGGTCATATGACTCGCCCTACCCACCCCCCACGCCTGGCTCAGCGCAGCCTCGGAAGCGCACGGCAAGAGCGGCGCGGCCGGGAGGATCCCGAGCGCCCGCCGCCGACAGCGCCACCGGGCGGTGAGACCAGAGCACAGACTTCAGTGGCTCGACAGTCAATTTATTTTGTAGTATGTATGCCTCTTCTCTCTTTCATCGTAGGTTCATTCCCCGTTTTCCCCCCTACCTTATTGGTCTCCTCAGCTAGACGCACGCCAGCAACTTCAGTATTTGCGAGGTGAGGGCAGGCGGATCAGGAGTTCAACAAACCAAAAATGCGAGGTTACGGGGAATGACTGAGGGGTGGAGGTAAGAGTACATGCCGTTCTTTCAAAGGACCTGAGTTCAGAACCCAGCACCCACATCTGTTGCCCTCAACAGCCTGTAACTTTGGCTCTAGGGAACCCTGATCCAGTGCTTTCTCACCTCACAGGTTCCTGCATGCATATACCACCACACAGAGATACATAATAATAAATCTAAAAAGAAAAAGTTGATCCTGGGTTTTTCTATAATTGTTCATTGGCAATGTACTCTGAAATAAAATGTTAATACTCTGAGGAATTAAACACAGAATTTGAAAAAAATCAGAATTTGGATTGGTGATGTAACTCAGTTGGTAGGCTGCTTGCCTGAACAGGTATGAAGTATGGGGTTCCAGCCACCCGTGGGCTGAATAAAGTGCCCAAACTAGGCCAGGTGTGCTGACGTTTGGGAGATTGAGGAAGGTTAAGAGTTCAAGGCCAGTATGAGCTCCGCAAGACCCTGTCAGAGGACTAGACTGAAGCTCTGAATGATTTGGTGTGGGGTGCACACTTGTAAACCCAGCACTCTGGAGTGTGAGGCAGGAGGATTGTAGGTGCAGTCTTGTTTGGTGAACTCAAGACCACCCTGGACTACATAGTGAACCTAGCAGAACACTGTCACCAGAAATACATGAAATTCAGAAACTGGGCACTTGCCACACCTGTCCAAAACCTTGGGATCCACCCTCAACTCTGCAAAAGCAACAAAATTCCTGCCTCTTGTCTTTGGTTGGTAAATGTAAAGAGTGAAGAGTAATGTTTTTATTGGTGTGTTACCCTTGAAAAGTGATTTAATTACACTATACACTATGAAAATATGTGCACAAGCCAGGCGCGGTGGCACACACCTTTAATGGGGGGGGGGGGAACAGCTCTCTGAGTTCAAGGCCGGTCTGGTCTACAAGTGCTAGTTCCAGGACAGGCTCCAAAACAACATGGAGAAACCCTGTCTCAAAAAGCCAAAAAAGAAAAGAAAATATGTACACAAGGGCTTGGGGGTGTAGCTCAATTGGTAGAGCACTTGCCTAGCACTCACCAAGTCCTGGGTTCCATCCATCCCTGGCTGAATTCAGTGTGCATAGTGGCACAGCACTTGAGAGGTCAAGACAAAGGGATCAGAAGTACAAGGTCATCCCAGAGTGCAGTATAGAGTTTGAGGCCAGCCTAAGATGCCTGAGATCTTGTCTAAAATATGTGTGTGTGTTTCTATCTGTATGTATATGCATGTATATATATGTGAGTGTGTGTGTATACCTGTATATGAAGAATATATATATGAAGAATGCAGGAATTATGAAATTGGAAAAAAAGTCCCTGAGCTGGGAGTCTAGATCAATGATAAAATTCTTTTCCAGCGTGTGCAAGACATAGGGCTCATTTCTAGCACGACAAAACAACAGTAACAGCAAAATCACTGCCCTCCTGGAGCTTACAGTCCAGTGGAGGAGAAGAGCTAACAAATGAGAAAACGCCATGTGATTCTTCACACTGCTCACAAAACTGATGAGAGGAAACTGGAGCCCACTCACTTGTCTTCTAGATCAGGTGACCCTGAGTGGAAAGCTGAGGGAAGTGAGAAAGAGAACCAGGCTGGTCTTTGGTGGAAGCACATTCCAGGAAAAGAAAAAGAGCAAAGACTCTGAATGGGGAAGGACAGTGACGTGGTCTGGACATCGAGAGAAGTGTGGCTGGCTGTCATCCACCCTGTACTTTAACTCACTGAGCTCCTGGCTCTGAAAGCACCGCCCTCCAACCCCATTCCAGAACCGGGTATGTGTGTCTCACAGCGTCCTCTAGGGCCCTTGCCTGGGGTGGGATGGTAAGGAGAGAAGAGAAGAGCAAGACCACGCGAGTGAAAACACCGTGAGCTGATAACAGCCAGGAAGGAAGCCATTTCCAGTAGAATGAACAACGCCTAGACCCTGACCTAAAGACGGCTGCAGCGGGAACAGAAAGCTAGAAGTTAGCTCAACTAGACACTCCAGCTGGCGGGAGAAGTGAAGGCGGGGAAACCAGTTGTGGTGTATTGTCTGAAAGAAGATGCTATTCTCAACTTTTAAATGGGGGATATGGGAAAGCTGGGGAGAAAGAGAAGGGGAAATGATACAATTATATTTTAATTTAAAACGTAGTCTTTAAGAAAAGGAAACTCCAGCTGACTGCCTCAACTTCCCCAACTGATTTCTGCTTCATGTTGACAAGCCTCTGACCTGTGTTAGTGCTCCCAATCAGCTACTCCCGTTATCTCTGCTGGGTGGTGTGAGCCTATAAGTTTGATGGAATCTGCCTACCTAGTTGCTACTTGCTATTAATTCCTTTACTTTTGCTTGCTATATACTTGATTAACTCATTCGTTTAAAACCAAGAGTGCTGCTGCTGTAGGTTATTCTCCAGACAGTACAGAGCGCTGGTACAGCCAGCAGTGGGGGAGAGAAGTGGATAGAGAATTCGGGGACCAGAAGGAGGTGGGCATGACGGCAGGGTATTGTATGAAAGAAGATGCTATTTTCAGCTTTTCAATGGGGGATATGGGAAAGATGGGGAGAAAGGGAATGACTTTAGATTTTATTATACAAGACAGGAAGTCAGGAGGGTAACTGATGATTTAATTGTTTTTATTTTATACATACATGTTTTGCCTGCATGTGTGTCTTTGTACATGTATGTGGCGCCTGAGAAAACCAGAAGAGGAGACTGGACCTGCTGGAACTGGACTTACAGATAGACAGTTGTTGACCTCCCTGTGGGTCCTCTACAAGAGCTGCAAGTGCTCTTAACTGCTGAGGCACCTCTGTAACTGCAGGAGAGTGACTGTGTGGGTGCATGTGTTTGGTAAGTGAGGAGTACATTGATGCACACATGTGGAGGTCAGAGGACAGTTTGCAGGCAGTGGTTCTCGTCTTCCAACATGTGAGTTCTAGAGTTTAAATTCAGGTCTTGAAGGCTAGTGGTCTGCTGTGAAATATTCCTTTACACTGTGTGATGATATGTCCCTGTGATTGGTTTAATAAAAAGCTAAATGGCCAATAGCTAGGCAGGAGTTTTAGCAGGGACTTCAGGCCAGAGAGAGCTCTGGGTAGAAGAAAGGCGGAGTCGCCAGCCAGACAAGGAGGAAGCAGGATGTATACAATACAAAGTAAAGGTAACTGAGTCACGTAAAAGAATGTAGATCTTAAAGTATGGGTTCATTTAAGTTATAAGAACTAATGGGACAAGCGTAAACAATAGACTAAGCTTTCACGATTAATAATAAGTCTCTGTGTCATTTTTTGTGAGCTGGCAACCCAAATTAAAATCCATCTACGGTGCCCAATACAAGCTGAGCCTTCTTGCCAGAGCTCAATTCATAGTTTTAACAGTTTCCTGGGAGTGGATAAGGACTAGTACTGCCAAACCTGACACCCCGAGTTCCATCCCCAGGACCCCACACAGCAGCAGGAAGGAAATGGCTACAGCACATAGTTCTCTGATCCTCACATGCACACCACGGCTCCTGTGCATAAATCAGAAAAAGAAATACGAAAAGAATTTGCTTGTTTTAAAGATCACTGGAGCAGACCTATGGGGAACTGCCTGTAGGAGGCCTTTATGGATTGAATAATTCCCTTCCTCTGTACCCTAAAAGATGGAATGTTTTGGGTCGAGGTTTCTTACCTCCAGAACTGTTAGGAGATATGTTTCTGTGATTTGTAAGCTGCCTAGGCACTGAAATTTCAGCCCTAAAAAAATCTATGACAGGATGGGAGAATGGAAAGAGTTTTGGAAGCTGGTTGTCTTAGTTAGGGCTTTATTGCTGGGAAGAGACACCATGACCATGGCAACTCTTGCAAGGAAAACATTTTATTGAGGAGGCTCACTTACAGTTTCAGAGGTCCAGTCCATTATCATTATGACTTAAGCACTTGTGTGTTGGCTTTCCTGTAGCCTCCCTTCTGGGAACTATATAGAATAATTGACCCAGTCTTATTCTTATTCATCTATATTGAGGTGCTGGAGATCAAGCCCAAAGCTCTATGCTTGTAGACAAGGGGTCTACCTCCTATCTGTACCCCTAGCTCAAGCTAAAATTTGTTGTTGTTGTTGTTGCAGGGTCTAATCTAGCTCAAGTTACCTGAAAACTTACTCTGTAGCCAAGAGCAGCCTTGAACTTCTGATTCTCTTCATTCCCAGAAACTTGGCCTACAGGCGTGTACCACACTGGGCTCCAAGCTAATTTTAAAATGAGGAACATCTCTCATCTACATTTACTGTAATTCTTTCCACTTCTACAACTGTTAGTCAATGGAAAAAATACTCCTTAACTGGAGAATCTAGCATTATACACACACACACACACACACACACACACACACACACACACACACACGGTCTGGGAAGATGGCCCAGTTGATAAGTACTTTCTGTGCAAGCATGAGGACCTGAGTTCAGATCCCAGCACCCGAATAAAAGTCAGGTGTTGCAGCATATGTCTGCAACCCTAGAACTGCGGAGGTGGAAAACAGGGGTCCTTGGGTAGTAGTCTAGCCAAATAAGTGAGCTGTGGTTCAGTGGCAGCCCTTGTCTCAGAAGAAAGATGGAGAGCAACTGAGGAAGATACTCCACCATCGGCTCTGGCCTCTACATGTGCGTGGGCACACACACACACACACGCACATGCATGCACACATGCACACA